AGAAAAAGGAAGAACTTACATTATGTTACTGTGGTTTACAGTACACCAAATGAACTATACACCAAATCAAAAGTTCCTTGATGGCAGGGACCATATGAAAATAATGTTTGGAGCCCAAAATCTGCCCAGCATAAAATCATCACTTAGAAGTACTGAATATAGTAATTCTATGAGTGCTTGGTAAATGTCATTGAATGACAGAAGAAATGAAGGTGAACCTTTATACTCACCATAAACAGTAAAGTGAATATGAAAACTTTAACATCCACTTAAACTACAAATTACAAATGATCAGCACCCCTTCCGTGTTTTCTGCATTTTTGTAAACCCAGAATCCCCCTTTTATAGCACAAAGTAGTTAAGTCCTTAGGGTTTTTGTTTGTTTTTAAGGAAAAACCCTCTACATGCTTCTTTTTTCTCTCAGTGCCTCATTTTTCTGAGCTCTTTAATATCACCTAGCCATTAACTATCCTCATCTGTGTCAATGGAGTATTTTCCCCTGGAGGGAGAGAAAAAATCTTGTGGATCCCATCCATCCTTGTGTCCCTTTAGTCTAAAGAAATTTCTAGAATATGCCAGTTCATAAAACTAGGCAAACAACCTTATAGAACAAATTGAAATCAAAGGTATTGATAATGAGGCAGAACCTTTCTGATAAACTGCCTACATCTAATAGATTAGACTGCTGTTAGACCTGGCTTTATCATCCTTTCTTTAATCACAGCACATTTGATATTCTCTTCCTTGAATGAACTCATTTTCATAGTAGCTTTGGTCACAAGATTAAAGAATTACTAATTGTTCTAAATAAGCAGAGCAATTCTCTCTGGCTGTGCCTAGGGCTCCCTGCAGTGGTGTCCACTGCTTGATTTTCTACCGTGGAAACTTCAAGCCTGACCCCTGCAGGTGGATAACTGAAATGCATGCCTCCAATTCAATCTTGGTCTCTTTTCAAGTTCTGAAAATAAAAGCATTCACACTAAGCACAACCGGGATACTGGTGGTATTGATTTAATATGTTGGGATTCCCTCTCATTTTTAAATTGCTTTTGGGAGGTAGCAACCACTTGATTAAAATTTAAATTACACCTATAAAAAACTCTGGTATGGTCGGCCATTGATTCCTTTTGTCTATGAAGAAAAAGTCAAATGATTTGGATGAACTGGGATTGTCAAATCGTGTGGGTCAAAAAATGTTCTGATTTGGCCCCACCTTTTACTAATCAAAGAAATTACTCTTTGTCCAGCAACCACGTTTCTCTACTACCTCCTTTCACCAAGGCACAGCCCAGGTTGCCATAGCTACCTTGGATGTCTATTTACCACACAAGGGATCAAAGCCAGGAGACATCCACATATGCACTTAGCCTTAAAACTTGCTGGAATGTCTGCGGATAACATGCAACTACCAATTAACGGATTTGCTTGCAGCCCATGCGGTCCACAGCCAAGCACTCTACGAAGGAGTCATAACTAATGGCAAGGAAAAGCCAACTTGAAAAAAGAAAAATGATTTCAAAATGACCAAGAAGTATCTTTAAACTGACAGCAAGTCTTACGATTATAACATTTCTTGAAAGGAGGGGGGGGATATATTACAATTTTAACCTGTGTTGAAGACACTTAGCTCTCTAAACCATGTGCAAAAACTTAAAACATCTGTTGAAAGGGAACATTTCTCAGACACATATTTAAAATTCCAGTTAGTTACAGTATCTTCCTTTTAGATGTCATAAAAGCTGCCTGTTCTCTGTGTTAAGACAAATGAGAACAGAAATGCCTTTTAAACTTTTAAAGACTTGACTTTCAAATGAAGGAAACCATACAACATACTTGAGACACTACGTGTTGGTTACAGAATGTTAAGAAAAAAGGATGCAATAGAAGAAGTTCTGTTTTAATCCCTGGAATGCCATGTGAGATCCCAGGCCTGCACAGGTAGTCTTTCTGGGTGGGTGAGTATTCATCCCGGGACTTGTCCCTAACTTGCTTTGTCTCTTTCTACTTAACCTTTCACTGCCTTCCCCTCACCATTTGTTCAATAAGGATCAAATTGCCACCCCAGTTCTCTCCGGGGGATGTGGCAGAGAATAAATAGATCATGTTTGGAAAGGACCTTCTAATCCTCAGAGGAAAGATTAATACGTAGACTTTCATTATTAAGCCAGATGTCCTTGGGCATTTTAATTCCAATCTAAAGAATGCAAAATGGGCTACTCAAACTGAGTCACAGCTGCCTCCTAAGAGCAGCATCCTGGCCTTGCAAGTATTTAGCAGCTATGGGATGTGTTTCAGTTGATCAGAAATAGGGCACACACCTTTTCCTCTTAGAGTTTTTTCTAAAGTTACCAGGATGTTAAAAACACAAAATATGTCTGGTAGGCAATTTCGTCTGGAGAATCATCTTTATCCCCACCCCCCCCACCCCCAACTTGAGAATGAATTATTTGTTCTTCTCATGTGTAGGGACAATGGGTGGCTGGCTATTTGGGGAGGTTATTTGCAGTTGTGGGAATGCCACAGGCAAACCTGTTGTTTTTGGCTGGGCTTTCAGAACAGGTGGCCATGCCTTTCCTTTTGCCTGGGAACACAGCAAATTCCTTCTCAAGGAAGGCTCCGGAAAGTTTCCCATTTATGATCAGAGTACAGAGAAAGGTTGGCACACATGTTAAAATTACTTCCTGGTAAAGACGAGTCAGGTTGACACTTTTCTTTGGCCTAACTCAGCAGAGCCTCAGGAGCCCTCAAAGAATACTGTCCTTCTACACCATTCCCTCTCTGCCAAACTGGCAGAGGCCCAAAGCCCCCTGCATCTGATAGCCAGTCATACAGCTTTCTAATCCTGTTGGCAATTTCTGGCTACCCAGACTTTCTGGATAGTCAGGGGCAGGGGTTTCTTCTGGGCTACCACACCGCTGTGCAGCATTTGTGCAGCCCTAGGGACGGATCACTCATCAGCCAAGAGATTGAATTTCATTGCCGAGCTGATGACACACGGGTCTGTTTGATAGTTAACCCTGCAAATCCAGCCCGGGCTGCGGGCTGAGATGACAAATTGGCTGGTTGGTGCAATTCACCTTGCCTGGATTCAACAGTCAGGTTTCCCCCAAAGAGAAACTTTAAAAAGTTGGGAATAACTCATGTCAATAATGCCACAATCCTGTCCACCTCACATTCTCATTCTGGCTGTTGTGGAACAATGTACTGGATTTCTGAATCAATGGATGATGATCCCTTCCTGACCTTCCATACCTCTCACTCCACCCTCCTTTCAGTACTGAACAGGCCAAAAAACTATTACACATACAGAGTTGCAAGATTAAAAGTCGCCCATTCATTAAATACCTAAGGAGTTACTACATGTGTATTTGTGCCCTTAAAACTTCAATACTGGGCTGTTTTCCAACTTCACGTGAATGCCATGACATGCCAGGCATGGGAAAAACCATCCCCAGCTCAGGACAGTATGCCTTGGGCATCAGGCCCGGGGGAGTGCCACAATTCCAGAGGAACTGTGTGGGAACAGAGATTCTGGAAATTGAGCACAGACACTACGGAGGAGAGGACAGGTGGCCCTGCAGAGGATCAAATGACTTCTTTGTTCCAGTTGAGGACCTTTGTCAAAATGTTTTCCGTTTTTTTTTCTTTTTCAGTCGTTTCCACAGCGGCTTCTGGCTCCTTATCCTCATCCCATACTGCTAGACATGAAAAAGAATGAGGTTGTACTGAGTTGCAAGACATAAAGAAAACCAACCTCTGCTCCATGGTCTGCAGCAAGGCAAGAGAGATTCATTGGAATCACAGTGCACTGGTCCGTCCTCAAGTGCTTTTCTGCAGGCACTGAAACTTTCTAAGCATCTTGCTTAGGGAGCAAGAGAGGGCACAAGGAAGCATGGAGGTTCTAGCCTGGCCACTCAGTGGGGGCTCCTGCTTCAACTCCCCAGGCTGTGGGAAAGGGACAGAAAGATCTAGACCCTCACTTAGGAACCTAAACCGACAGTTCACTTCCCCCCAGGTGACTCAGCCTATGTGGAAGAGAAAGTGGCCACAGAGATGCTAACTTTTCCCACATGTTGGCTGAGCACTGGCAAAGCAGTATCACTCCTCTGGAAATCTCTGCGGTCCCAGCCTCCTAGGATGTTTTTCCAGGCTTGTCTTCCCCTTATATGAGTATCAATCTTGATATTAAAATATTGACACAAGATTCTCCTGCAACTTTGATTGAGTTGTAAATTATACCCTCTTCCTGGCACCCTACATTCACTGGCTTCTTTCATTTTCCTTTCAACGGCAAAGCTATAAACCTCTGCCCAGCCTGATAAGGAATTTTATCATCATGCCCCAGAGCCACGGAATTAGCTGCTGGTTTAGAATTCTTTTCAAAGACTTGGTTAAGTAATCCCTGAGCCCTTTCTCCACTTACTACTTTCAGGTTGTCTTCTCACGGTCAGAAGCAATAGTTTCCAAATTGCTTAGGACAGAAAAACAAATCTGCATTTATTCTGGAAGGGCTGTCTGTACTCATCTCGGGCTGGTTCCGCCTTCTCAGCCATAAACACAGTAAGTGCTCAGAATGGGAGGCCAAAATGAGATAAGCAGCCCCGTGTAATTCTTTTTCAGGATATTCAGTTGTCTTTATTCTAACCCAATGCATAGGGTAGAGGCTAATAGCTCGAGATAGACCCTCGCACAATACATTCCAGCGGCCGCAAACGGGAATTGATTTACATATTCTACAAACCGATTTTAAGCCCTTTACAATGCCTGCCTGACATCATCAACCACCATTAGAGGCAAACGCTGGGACGGGTGGCAAGGGGAGGGGGGCAGCCTCAGGTAGTCTGCTTCTTTCGCTGCTTTAGGAAAATGCAGCCTGCTCTTTCCGCTCAACGGATCAACTCGGACAGGCATGTGCTAACTCAGCCAGCTCTCGGGAGTCACAGGACTCAGGGTCCCATGCGGCGCCCTCCTGCCCGCCAGCACAGTTGCCGGGAGCTTACCTGCCTCATGTTTAGAATTCCATGACCCATCCGGCAGGGAGCGAGCTGCAGCGAAGCCCACGCCGCGGTCTTCAGAGTGGAAACGCCAAACCCCTCCAGAAGCCCGCAAGACAAAAGCAGCCGGCGAAATCCACAGGCAGCAAAGAGCACGTTTCGTCCTCTTTTTCTTTGATCTGCGGCTACACGCACTCTGCCCAAGACAATGTCAAGTTTCTCAGCCTTTTCTCTCCCAGCCTATGAAAAGTCGGTCGCAGGGAAGCCAGGACCGCCTGGCTCTTATTTCAGATCAGTTCTCAGAGACGTTGTAGGTGGCTGGCTCGGCTGTGGAGGAGCCTCGCCAATCAAGAACAAGGGGTGGGTCCTGGGAGCCAGAAAGGCTGCCTCCGCGAGGATTAGGAGTGCTTTCAGTAGTCAAATGACTGGAAGCAGCTGAAAACAGTTTCCAAAGCTCCCAAAGTAAAGGATGAGTTCTATTCTTATCTAACAGCTCGGGGTCTGCTCAAATCTAAACTAGCTTGGGGCCTTAAATCCGTGCAGTTAAGAGCTCCCTGAAAGCATTAAAATATGGAAGGTGCAGAATTATTTCAGCCAGAAAGTTCAACACTCAGGACCCGAGGGTATTTTATAAAAGGGTATCTTGCACCAAAGTCTTATATTGGCAAAGACACTGGAAAGCAGATTCTTAGGCGTTACACCTTAACTGAAACAAGGGGGAGAAGGGTGTTACCCACCTCATGGCCACAGAGATGAACTATATATCCGGTCTAGGAAAAAACAAGTCTTAATGGGAACCTGCAGACAGAATTTTTAAAATGCAGCAGGCGAACAAGAATCTACTGAGGACGCAAGGCCTAATTTCAGAGTGCAATATTGTCATCAGCATGAGAACACTGGTATTTGTTTTAAAATTTAAAAAATAAGTCTATCTACCTTCACTATGGTTCCCCTTACCTACAAAGTTGTCAAGACACCTATTGATAGCTGTCTTCTTAGAAACTGAAACCCAGCCTCAAAAGAATTTCCAAAGTTTGCTATCTTAACTCCGCAGAAGCATTAACTCTGTTCGACTCTCAGCCAATGTATTTTCACACCAAATCTACCTTTTGAATTTCAAGAAAGTGCAAGTTGAGTAAAGACTACTTGTATAGTCCCAGTGTGTATTATTTCCCAAAGAAGTGATCACAATTTTGTAAGAATAATTTGGTAGTTTTACTTTTTTGGTATCAGGAGAAAAATAACTTAGCAAAGAATGCATTTGTGGGTTTGAAAGTATCACACCTGCATGAGTTCTGTGAAAATATGGCTGCCTGATCTTTGGGCTAGGAGGGTCATAATTCCAGCCTCATCCCCTGACCTGAGCAGTCTGGGGGCCCACCAGTGACACAAGCTGACTTTAGTCTATGACTTGACTTACTTCAGAGCCTTTCACTATGACCTAGATCAGGGTTTCTGAAGCTTGGCACTACTGGCATTTGGGACAGATCATTCTCTGTGACAGGCCAACCCAGTGCACTGTAGGATATTTAGCAGCTTCCCTAGGCTTTGCCCACCAGATGCCAGTAGCATTTCCACAGTCGTGATGATCGAGAACATCTCCAGTCATTATCAAATGTCCCCTGGGTGGCAAAAGCATCCTTTGAAAAGATTGGTTTTCAAACTTGAATGTGCAAGAAAACTTCTGGGGAGATTGTTTAAAATGCAAATCTCGGGACCAGCAGTTAGAGTAATGGCGATGTCACTGAACTCCCATGTAGATGACCGCGGTTCAAGTCCTGGACCCGGTGGCTTGAACTCACGCTGGGTGTGTGTGCATGCATGCCCAGGATCCCAAGAGGAGAATGGAGGAGAAGGGATTGCGGTGTGGCCATCCCCCCTGGGGGGAGTGAGTTCTCTCTTTCTGTCTCTCTGTCTCTGTCTCTCTGGCGAGTGCACCACGCCCTGTAGCAAAAACCTCTCAAAAAAAAAAAAA